TGCTCTAATAAATTTGTTGCATCCGAAGAAGTGGGCTGTAGTCCACGAAAGCTTATGCTCTAATAAATTTGTTGCATCCGAAGAAGTGGGCTGTAGTCCACGAAAGCTTATGCTCTAATAAATTTGTTGCATCGGATGCAGTGGGCTGTAGTCCACGAAAGCTTATGCTCTAATAAATTTGTTAGTCTCTAAGGTGCCACAAGTACTCCTGTTCTTCTTTTTGCGGATACAGACTAACACGGCTGCTACTCTGATGCCCATAAATGTAGACCAGTCCTCAATATAGTTAGATCCATAGAATTTAAGGCCAGAAGGAACCATTAGATCATCTAGTCTGACCCCGTGCATATCAAGCCATTACATTTCACACAGTTGCCAATAACCTGTGATTGGCTAAAGCATATTTGCCAGAAAGGCAGCCTGTCTTGATATGAAGACACCAAGAGATGGAGAATCCACCACCTTCTTTGGTAGTTTGTTCCAGCAGTTAAAAAGTTGTGTCTAATTTCTAATCTGAATTTGTCTCACTTCAGCTTCCAGCTACTAGTTTTTGTTAGGTCTTTCTCTGCTGGATTGAAGAGCCCGTTAGTATCTTTCTAGAGGTCTTTCCTCCCTGTGAATGTACTTGTACACAGTAATCAAATCACTGCTCAATCTTCTTTTTGATAAACTAAACAGATTAAGCTTTATATTGATTTTTAAGTCTCTCACTGTAAGGCATTTTCTCCAGTCCTCAAATCATGTGTGTCTCTCTTTTCTGCACCCTCTCCAGTTTTTCAACATCCTTTTAAAAATATGGACACCAGAACTGGATGCAGTATTCTCATGTCTGTCTCACCAGTGCCATATGCAGAGATAAAATAACTTCCCTATTCCTACGTACTACTTCCCGGTTTAAACAGCCCAGGATCACATTAGTCATTTTTGCCACAGCATGACACTGGGCTCTCTTGTTGAGTTGCTTGTCCACTATGACCCCCCCAGATCCTTTTCAGAGTCACTGCTTTCCAGGATACAGTCCCCCAGTCTATAGATATGTTCTGCATTCCTCATTCTTACATGTATAACTTTGCATTTGGATGTATTGAAACAGTTTATTTGAATGTATTTGAATACAGTCAAATGCAAAGTTGTATTTCTAGGAAAGAGGAATGCAGTGACACAGATCACTCTATGGATATGTCTACATTGCAGTAAAAGACCCTCAGCTGGCCCAGGTCAGCTGACTCAGTCTCTCCAGCCTTGGACTGCAGGGCTATAAAACTGCAGTGTAGTCGCTAGAGCTTGGACTGGAGCCCAGGCTCAGGAACCTTGCAAGGGAGGAGGGCCTCCAAGCCCAAGCCCCATCCTGAGCTCTAGCATCGAGACTGCAATTCTATAGCTTCACAGCTCGAGCCTGGCAAGCCTGATTCAGGTGACCTGGGCCAGCCACGACTGTGCTGTGGGTCTTTCATCGCAGTTTAGATATACCCTTTCTGACTGCCCTGTCTCCACTCTGCCAATCTTTGTGTCACCTGCACATTTTATCATGATTGATTTTATATTTACTTCCAGATCATTGATGAAAATGTTGAATAGCATCAGGCCTGGTACCAATCCCTGTGGAATCTCACTGAAAACACCCACATTTGATTTTGATTCCTCATTGACAAGTACTTTTGAGATATGTCATTTAGACAGTTCTTAACCCACTTAGCATGTGCTTTACTGATATTATATAGTGCTAATTTTTTATTCAGAATGTCATGCAGTACTAAGTCAAACCGCCTTACAAAAGTCAATTACATCCACCGTTACCCTTATCAACCACATTTATAATCTCATCGAAGAATGAAATCACATTTGTTTGACAAGATCTAGTTTCCATGATCCCATGTTGACTGGAATTAATTATACTCATTCTTTATTGCACCATTTCATTCTTTAAACACCAAGTATACATATGATTAGTTGGGACTGTCCCCTGTTTGCCCATATTGAATGTATTAAGTCATAATCTTTGGTCCCTAGGCAACCACCAATATTCAGGCCAGTCATTAATTTATCTTTTTCTAAAAGATATGATCCAGGAATTATTTTGGGAAAGTTCCATGGCCTAGTGTTATACAGGAGGTCAGAGCAAAATGATCAGAGTGGTCCCTTCTAGTCTTGGAATCTACGATTCTATCATACTGAGGCTCAAAATAGTTACTGTGTGATGCAGGTTGTCTTCTTTGTACAGCCCCTTCTCCAGCAGGAATGTGGCCTGATGTTCCACAAAACCAAAACTTTCAGCTTCACTCCAGTCACACAGCCAATGGTTTACCCCCCAATATTTTCTGCTTTCTGCCTTCTCTCAGCAGAAGGCTGGATCTCTGAGAAGTTCATTTGGACTTTCAGCTTGTTCAGCTCTCTTCCAAGGTCCTTGAAGGCTTCTATAATCTGTGTAGTTCCACACAGCTCAAGCTAAATATGAGTCAACTGTGTAACATGGTTGCAAAAAAAGCGAACAGCATTCTGGGATGTATCAGCAGGAGCGTTGTAAGCAAGATACAAGAAATAATTCTTCTGCTCTACTCTGCGCTGATTAGGCCGCAACTGGACTATTACATCCAGTTTCGGGCACCACATTTTAGGAAATATGTAGACAAATTGGAGAAAGTCTAGAGGAGAGCAACAAAAATGATTAAAGGTCTAGAAAACCTGACCTATGAGGAAAGATTGAAAAAACTTGGGTTTGCTTAGTCTGGAGAAGAGAGGACTGAGGAGTGACATGAGTTTTCAAGTACATAAAAGGTTGTTACAAGGAGGAGGGTGAAAAATTGTTCTCCTTAACCTCTGAGGTTAAATTGCAGCAAGGGAGCTTTAGGTTGAGCATTAGGAAAAACTTCTTAACTGCCATGGTAGTTAAGCACTGGAACAAATTGCCTAGGGAGGTTGTAAAATCTCCATTATTGGAGGTTTTTAAGAACATGTTAGACAAACACCTGCCAGGGATGGTCTAATTATTACTTCTCCTGCCTTGAGTGTAGGGGACTGGACTAGATGACCTGCTGAGGTCTGCTCCAGTCCTACACTTCTATGATTTTATGATTTCATGTCATTGGTCCCAATGTGCATCACCACCAGTGGACACTTGCCAGACAACTTCATAATCCTGTCTCATCCTTCAATTAATCTTGTATTTTTGCTCTAGGAAGACAGTGTATTGTCCTGCTGTCCTAGTGTCCCTTGCTGAATTTTCTGTTCATTCTTGTTAATATGGAGTTGCTGGTAATGATCACTTGCCTTCTTAGGATGGCTGAAGAACCTCTCTTAGTAGTTTGTTTCATACAGCACATATGTCCCCTGTAACTTTCTATTCTATTCCTCGGTAGTTGACTCCCTGAGTATTTCACAATGATTCAATGCTTCCAGTTGGGATGATTGCCTCCTGGTTCTCTTTTCCCTCTTGGTCACAAATTGCCAGTCCGGTTTGGTTTCTGCTTTCTTCAGTTCCTTTATCACTGAGCCTTCTCCTTGTGGCGTCTATGGTAACAATTTCTAGATCTGGTTGTCTAATAAGTCTTCGTTTTCTCACTCCAAACACATACCTTCTCCTCCAGTATGGCTATCAATTTGCACTTCATAGACCAGAAATTTCTTCCGTCTACCAACAAAAGGAAAAGAGCACATCCAAGTCAAGTAACAACAGGTATTTCCTCACTGTCCATATCCACTACCTGATGTGAGCCATACCTAAACAGAAGGAACCGCATTCTGTCCTGTGAACTCTCTCTGAAACTCCTCTGTTCGCCTAGCAACTGACTTTTTGTCTCGCTGCTTATCTCCATCCCCTCACCGACAGGGAGGGATTAACCACACAGACTTCGAATACTGAGAAGACCCAAGAACCCAGCCACACAGTCCTCACAGGGTCAAAACAAACAGATCTCTCTGGCCAATTCAGGGGCTCCAAACCCCAGCCTCACGGTCCTTACTAAGACAAACAGACCACACCCACAACTCACTACGTCCATTTTCCTCCAAGCACAGGATCTACAGATCCTCCCTCAAAAACTCCCGTTTGCCACTCTTATTCACCTGCATGTTTTTAGTGCTCATTGTCCTGGTGCGCAGGCCGGAGGAGAAAGCAGCCTAACTTGAATGTGAAGGGTGAAGAGCAGCGTGAGGGAGGAGGTGAGAGAGATGTGATATGAGAAACAGGAGCAAGAACTGGTGCAGAAGTGGTAATAGGGACAGAGATGATCAGAGGAGAGGAGCCCAGGATTCCTGAGTCTCAGCATGCTCCTGCAGTCTAGCAAACAGCTGTAAAACTGAATGGCAGAATGTCTCTCTTACCCTTCTAGTGGCACAGGGAGGACAACAGCCATTAGGTCAAGTGGCAGAGGTTTGTGCTGCGGATCTAAAGGTCCCAACCCACTGATGATCGAGGTGGGGGTCAATATGGTTCCACATAATGGAACTTCTGTGTTTTTAGTTTGTTTTTTAAAAAAACCTAGGAAATTACATATGAAAATAACTTGGTCAAAAGAAGATTATTAAGGTTGCAATATCAAGCACTCAGAAATCAGGAAATGCCAAAAGTAATGCTCATCCCAGTCTTCCGCCACCTGCTCTTCCCAGTTCCTTACCCATAAGCTCCACTTCCCAGACCCCATCCCCACCTGCTCTGTTGTACCCTTCCGTTGTAATTCATAATGACAATGGGGTGAAGTGGATTCTCTAAGCGGTTTCACTCATTGTTAAGAGGAGGAGAAGTGAGAACAAAAGGCAAAATTAAAGTTGAAATTGGAACTTTCCCTGAGCATTGTCAGTATCAGCTGTTCAGGGTTTTTTTTTAAACTACAACCTCATTAATTGATTTTCACATATTTATTGTAAAATTTAACTCTCAATCCTCTGAATTTTAAATATATAACTTCCTTGTTACCAGGCAACAGAGGGTCCTGTGGCACCTTTAAGACTAACAGAAGTATTGGGAGCATAAGCTTTCGTGGGTAAAAACCTCAC